TTTCCTCTTTATGTTATCTTTTTGTTGCATTTTTGTCATAATTTTTCCTTCTTTCATTCCAAAAAAATTATAAAATTATTATCACTTGCCAAATTAATAGAGTTAAGTGATAATTGATTTACTTAATAAATTTTAAATTTTCTAATCCATAGTTAGTAATTTACTCAAGTTCATCTTTTATGATAACTCTAAATAAATTTCTTAAGAAATAATTTTTCAAAGTAGTGTACTTTACTTAAGCCTTAACTTAGACTTTTAATTAAAATAATGGACTTTTTGCATGCTTAACTTAGAGTCGAAAATAATTTTTTAAGTAGCCTTGATTTATATTTTTTTCGTATACACATATATATATTAGAGAAAAAAACTAACTAGCTAACTTTATAAAAAGAAGAGTGCAGAAAATGGGCACAAAAAAACACTCTTGAATTCAAGGTAATTATATCTTATTAAGCCTAAGTTGACTGAGTAATTAAGTCCAATGAGTATTTCCATACTTAATGACCGAAGCCCAATTAGGTTGGGATTCATTGGCTGAAAACTCGTTAAATAGTCACTTAGTAAACCAGACAAAGTAGAAAAAAATCACCACGGAATAAAGAGTGAAAAAAATATAATATACTAACAAATGTTTATATATATATATGATTTTTGATCAAGACTTGAAAATTATTCAAAACAGTTAGCTAGTATGTTCTTTTCAAAAATTTTAAATTAAATTTCTAAGTTTGACTTGGTTTTGTATTTCTATAATGAAAAGATTTTCTAGGAAATTTACCTTAGAGTTATATATAAAAACTTTTTTTGAGTAAAAACTAGCTTCCATTAGAATGTCTAATTAAATATATCAAGTAAAATTAGTTATTTATTGACTTCATTTAATTGGCAAGTTGATCGAATTTTATGGATATATTCACTGCAAACCCTCACGAGACTACAACTCGTCCACTAGGGTAACCTAGGAGTTTAAAGGCTTGTTGTATGCGTTAAATACAACCGCGATTCCTACGAAAGTGTGTTAGTATTTTTAATTTCTTTCTTTGCTAGAGGACTAGCAAAAGTTTAGGTGTGGGGGTATTTGATAATCATATTTTTATTATAATTTTATACCCTCATTATCTATTTTTTATGAATAAATATATCACTAATAATTATTTTTATTTTTAATTGCAGGTTAATGAAGAATAAATCCCAAGATCTCATCTCTCAACTAAAGCCCATGAATTAATGAAGAATACAAGCAATAGCCCAAAAACCAAAAGCGTAAAGCCAATTGAAGAAAAAGAATTCGGCCAGAAATAGAGAAGCATGGCTATCGATGGGAGCATCGATGCCGCCATCGATGACACCATCGATGACACCATCGATGCCAGCATCGATGCCCCCATTGATGATGACCGTTCTGTTACAGTCCTATGGCTGAAAATAGAGGGTTATTGATAAGAATTCAATCCAATGGCTCTAATTCACTGATGTTTACTATAAATAGGGATAGAGAGTGAGGGGTTAAGGGTGTGAAAAATTTTATAACTTTATTTGGAGAGGATGGTTACTCTTAATTGAGAAGACCTTCCAATTTTGTAACTTTTGCTACAATCAATAAAAGAATTTTTTTTTTTGGATATGATGGTGATTGAGGGGGCATGATGCTGACGATAGGTGGTGAGGCAGCCAGGATCACTAGCCATGACGATGGCAAATAGCTGTTGATGTAGAGCTCGAGGACGAACTGCCTTTCAACGTTAACTCAGCTTTGTAAGTGGGCCTACAAATACCACCTTTCTTGTCGGCCTCGCAAGTTGTCGACTTGACTCTGAGAAAATGAGGGTGGTTGACTAGACTAGTGAGGTCGAGTGAGAGTATGACTTGGCTCAGACCTACTAGGGAAAGGACGAGGCTTGGGCTGCTCGAGTTGCCCTGGCTAGAGAGTGAGCTAATCTGTTGACTAGTATTGCCTTGGGACACGTGTCGTTTCCCACTAGAGAATTAACACTTGGTGTAATTGTGGACATAACAAAAACGAAAATGATGTTTATATCGTTCTGTAAAATTTTTTAATGTGTACACTATAAAAAAGCATAGATACTCCGTTTAGTTTTCCATTTGACTATAATATTCTAAGATTAAATTTAGAGTTTTATTCATAGTAGTCAACTAAATCTTTAATATTTTTCAAATTATTAGATCCCAACTCTCATATCTTAGTGCTGCTATGGAGGGGTTAATTAGAAGCTCCTCATGAAAATCAGGGGAGCTAATAATAATTTCCATGGCTAATTTGGGAACTTACTAAGTGTTTGGAAATCATGATGTTTTCTTTGTTTCAATGTTGTTTTTGCTAAAATAAAAACATGATGTATTTGGAGACCATTGTTTTCATAGGAAAAGGGGGCAAAAAAAAAGAGAAAAAAAGAAAAAAAAGAAAAACACTTGTGGGCAAAAAGGGAAAAAACACTTATCTCAAAACATATTTTAAATGTTTTGAGTTTTGCGTTTTGAATTTTGAGAGGTGTTTTAAGTTAATAATATATAAGGTGCCACTTGGTAGGGGGTTAAGAGAGAAAGGTTAAGAAGAATGGTTAGTTTTCGATGGGGGTTAAAAATAATTTAATTCTATTTGGATGAAGACGTTGACACAAAGAGTTAACTTTTTCATGTTGGATAACAAAGAAAAGACTAAGAAGGTCAATCTCTCTAATTTTTATTTTTAATTATCAAAAAATTTCTCATCGAAAGTAGAAAAATTAGTAATAATCATTTCATCTCGTAATTCAACTAGAACTTACATTCATGTGAACCATAAAAAATTCTAATTTTTTATTAGTTAAATAAACGATTTTTGAGAAGGCTAATAAAATCAATTTAAATTTAAAAAACTCTAATACAATGATAGTAAAATTTATAATGTAAACTTAAAAGTGCATTCATACTACACAATAGTTTTAATTTTGCTAGGATATAAATAATAAAGAAAGTTTACATTGTAAATTCCAAATTCATTCAAAATTTAGCTTCATTACACATTGTCAAATATCACATTTCCAATTATTTAACTAGATAATTTATCTTAGAGCATCAAAATGTGGACTTGATTTTATGGCACAAGAAAATTAAATTTATAAGAAAGGAACTCCTTTGAAAGGTGGTCAAAAGGTCAAAGTTTACCAACATTTCTTTCTTCGTGGTCCCATGGCTATTTGCGAAGACCAACCACCAACAACTAGGGCTATGCAATCGGTCGGTCGGTTCGGTTTTTGGCCAATTTAACCAAACCGAACTGAACTGCTTATCATTCAAAACTAAAGTGAACCAATTCAAGTCGGTTCGGTTCGGTTTCGGTTCGGATCTGTTTATTCAGTTTTCACTTAGGTACAAATGTTATGTCCAAATTTAATGTTACCTCTAATCTGTTGACGAAGAAAGAAATCTCTTACACTTCAATTTATTAAAATTCATAAACTATTAAATGCTACTGAATATTAGATCTAAAAATCAAAATCTTATTCCTACCAAAGATTCCATAAAGTTTTTTAGAGAAAACTTACATAAAGAATTAAAGTGATCTCAATCTGATAGACAAAGTAAATAAAAAATATGTAATAACTTGGATGCTGGGTATAATTTCTATAAAATTATAAGTCTGATCCAAAGAGAAGTCTGGCCCAAAAATGTATCAATCGAGAAAATAAAATCGGGAAATGTTAGAATCAATATTATGGTATAAGTTTTTTACCTCCAAAGTGGATTGGTCCAAAGTAGAAGAAGCGAATATGTAATAGAGAGGGATAGAGAACTAGAGATTATGGAAACCCCTAGAATTATAGAGGTCACTATTGTTGGGGTATTTTATCTCTATCAGGTCGCATGAGAGAAAAATATATCAAGCTGCATAGAAGTAACTCTATATGAACTATAATGGGTCGAGTTTAAGCGGATGTAAATAGTAATAAGAATGAGTAATACAATTCGGTCGGTTCGGCCAATTCGGTTAAAAAAACTTCAACCCGATCCGAAAAGAACTCTAATAAAAACCGAACTGAACTGTTAAATTTCGGTCGGTTCGATCGTCTTGTTCGGTTTGAACCGAACTATGCTCACCCCTACCAACAAACGAGCATGCGTTTACACAAGGGACCAGATGCTAAACCGTTAGCATGAATTTTCATTTGATCGTATGATGTCCTACCTACATACGGCTAAATCCATCGCGTTTTATATTTCTAAATTCGCTGCCTACCCTTGCATGAGGAGGCGGAGTAATGTAATTCCGCTTCCACACGTGGGATTATTAACCAGTCTAATAACGGGGTAACTGACAGTTAAAAATTTGTTACAGGTTTATTAACATATTAGTCTTTTTCGTTGTTTGGAGCATTAATGAGGGGTTAAACCCCCTTAGCTCTTCTACTACCCGTTGCCAAACAGACCCCAAAGGTTTAATTAACTGACTAAAAAAAACCCTGATATTTGGCAAATATGGGGGTGTTTGGCAATCTGAAAGTGAATTTAAAATATGTAAGTTACTTTTTTTTACAAATGACTTTTACATCCATGTCAGCACGCAAGTGAAATACAGTGTTTGTTTGAAAAATTAAATTATTATCGAAAGTGCAATGTGAAGATGACGTGGCAAAATAAGATTAATTAGAAAATATAATTAAAATTATTTAATTAAATTACTTACTTTTTTGTCACTTTCATGTGACTTCACCACTTTTTTAGGGGAAGTCAAAATTGCATTAAATCTTATGTGGCAACTTTTTTACATCTCACTTTCATAACCACTTACATGAAAACAAACACCTTAATTGTTAAATAAAAGTAACTTTTTCACTTTCATCTTTCACTTACATGCAAACAAACACCCCCTATATATACCATAAATCCAAACTGATCTTACAAGGTAACTGAAAACAAACTCGGTCTTCAGTTACTCCTTGTCCCGAAACATTTCCATATCAGTAACGGATCTTCCTCCGACCCAAACCCGAACCCGTTAACCCCGTCCAACTGTCAACCAACCCCAAACAAAAAACCCCCATTGCCAAAAACCACACCGCCTTAAAATTTCCGGCGAGATCCAAACCCCGAAAATCTCCGCCGCTGCCGCCGCCGCCGCGCCAATGGCCACCTCGACCAACTCCCCCTCTTCTTCCTCCTCCTCCTCAACCCCACCGCAAACCCTAACCCTAACCCTAACCCTAATTCTAATTCCTCTCGGATCCCATCCAATCATGGTGGGAGTCAATCTCGCTGCTCGCTCGCATCCTCTCCTCTCCTCCCTTCTCTCCCTCCCCTCCTTCTTCGCCTCCCTCCCGACTCCGACCGCTCCGCCCGCCTTTACTCTGCTCGCCGCAAGCAATATTCCCGCTGTTCTCCAGCTCGCCTCCGCCGATGCCCTCCTCCGGCTCCGGCGAGGATCACCTCTGCCAGTGGCTCTATGAAACCTTCCAGTCCTCCGATCCCGATCTCAAGCTCATCGTCCTCTCCTTCATCCCACTAATCTCCTCTCTCTACCTCTCGAGAGTCATCTCTTCGCCTTATTCGTCGTCACTCGCTGGATTTGAATCCGTTATCTTAACGATCTATCAGTCCGAGACTCGATTGAGGGGCGGGAAACCCTTGCTGATCTCGATCCCGGATCTGTCTCAACCCTCGCTGTACCATACTCCGAGGCCGGGTTCGCGAAATCGACGGCAGGCGGTGGCGCAGGAGAGGCAGGCGAAGGTTGGTGTTTTGTCCCCGCCTCTTGAACCCCAGATGGCGGTGAAATCGACGAAGCGGGCTTGTATTGTGGCGGTGGGTTGGGTTGTTTTTATAGGAAAGATTTCGGCGATGCCCGTTAGGTCAAAAATTGATTTTTGCGAGTTTGTGGTGGGGTGGGCTGGGCAGGATTGCTGTTGTAGGTATGAGCTTGATGATGATGAGTCGAGTTTGTCGAATTTTAATGAGGATGGGGAGATTGGGAGTTTTAGTGAAGAGATGGGTAGATTGGGGATTAATGAACGGTCAAACTCGAATGGGAGTTGTAATGGTAATGGGAATGTGAGGGGTTCTGGGGATTTTAGGTCTTGTAGGATTCCACTGCCTTGGGAGTTGATGCAGCCAGTGTTGAGAATTTTAGGGCATTGTCTTTTGGCGCCGATGAAAGCACAGGAGGTTAGGGATGCAGCTTCGGTCGCCATTAGGAGCGTTTATGCACGTGCATCGCATGAGTTGATGCCGCAGGCGATTTTAGCGTCGAGGAGTTTGATACAATTGGATAAGAGTACGAGGAAGGCGGCAAGGGATGCATCAGGAATGGCGGTGATTGGGGGAATGGCTTCGAATCCAACTACGCCGAGTAAGCCTAAGAAGCCGGAGGTGCTTTTGGTCTCGAAATAATTGGTGAGTTGTTATATTTGTTGAACTACAATTCAATGGAATATGATGCATTTTACTGTATGTGCTTATGATAGTTGTATGATTGGTGTATGTTTCTATGGTGGACTAAATGCGCAGAAGGTGAGTGTAAGTGATGTTATATTTTACGTGCTGATTATATTACTTGTGCTTGATGATTGTAGTTCCTTGTTCATTTGCAGTTTCAAAATATTATTGTGAGAACTTCCCTCCTTTTTTATGGTTGATTATAATGATTGTAGAGTTGGATTATCCTATTAGTCCGTCAAAGGTTCTACATTGGCAGCAGTTTTGCTTTTGCATGCTGTGACTAACCAATCTTTGGCAAGATTCATAATATGTGGTTGGTAAAGACCTCATTAACTTAATCTGCTTTAACCTTGATAGTTATGGTCACATTGCTAACTAAGTAGGTAATAAATCACTAGCTAGTGAATCAAGCGAAATTTCCATGTTTACTTTCTAGGTTCTCTTGTAGGTAGATACTTTTTAAATTTGTTCATAAGAAATCACAGCCATCACGGATAAGAAATGAGCACTTTATAAGAGGTAGAGAGAACTCATAGCCCGTTATGGATAAAATGACGGAGAATTGACTAGATGGGTTAGGCTTTTAAAATAGAGGGCCAAAGGGAAAGGGTTGCATCTAGGATTGATAGGTCTAACAAATTGAGCAACAAGAATTTGGGATGGCGTAAATGAACTTGGATGTGGGTAAGTCTGAAAGTATTTCTGGTCGCGATAGTCACTGCAGCTTCAACTCCTGCAGCTGTAAAATTATATATGCATTGATGTGTGAGCTCAGTTTTATTTGGCCATTGATTCAAAACATAAGGCTATGGGTTTCAAAGTAGAGCTTTCTAATTCTCTTGTTATGTACATGAAATAGACCATAAGAAGGCAAGATGACTTTTCTTTCTCTAAGCATGTTATATGGTACTGGAAAGTTTAGCTAGTCAGGCAAAGTAATATAGAAAACGATCAGGACCAATTAGTGATTTTTTTAAGGACAAACTAAGGGTTGCTTGCTAAAAGAGCATTTAGAATGATGATGACAACTCTTAATTTTCTCATTATGCATCTTTCAGTTTTCCCAGTTGAGAAGCATGGATGTATATCGGGATGAACTGCACATTTATGGGACAACACCAGGTCCTATCAATTTTTTTCCCTTGAAAGGTCGACTAATGGTTGCTCCTTCTAGAATTATATGATTTTCGGTGAACCCAGCTGACACTTATTTCTTGTCCTCAACTTCATAATTTGCACCTTTCCTCCTGATACCATGGCAGAAGCTCATGCACGTGCATACACATGGAAACCCTTCTTATTTTTATATCTCGGAAGGAAATACCATGTCGAGGATTTGGTTAGCTATATTGATTTCATGAGTGATTATCTTGAATCACTTGCTGATATTTTAGGTTGTGACCGACCTTATAAATCATAATTGAGGAGGGGCTTTGATTGGTACATTGAGTTTCAGTAATTGATTATGGACTATTTAGACATCAGATTATTTGCACAAAGTTCCTCTAATAAAAATGTTGGATGTAGTCGTGACTAATCCAAGAGTCGTAGTTATTAAGATTTGAGAATGTGTGGTAATACTTGTGAAGAATCAACAGTTGTGCTACAAACTATGGCAAATTAAGCAAAAGAGTACTATTATTTGTTAAAAAGCAATTTTATCCCAACTGGTTCTAGGATTAATTTTAAGGATTATTCATCTGGTATTCATATGGTGAATTTTGCATGGAAATTGACAGGTACTTTAGTAATTTATATAAACTTCTAATATCCACCCAACATATATTCACCAGAGCAAACTGCAAGGAAGAGCTTAGTTAGGGTTGCTCTTCGTTATTTACAAAGAATCTCCAGATCATGTCTTGGTTAAAATTTTTTACCGTGGCCACCAAATACTGAAAAATCCAAGTATTTTCTCTCAGTTGCATCTGCTTATAGGGAGTTTTGAGTGCATGTATTATTATCTAATGTTTGATCTATGTGTTCTGTTATTCCTAGTTATAAAACACAAACGCTTCTTTATGGCTTCCATGTCACATGTCTTGGACAACAGCACATCACAGGTAGTTGAACAGTGATACCTTTTGAAGTTGACATCAACCAAATAAATGGCACTATAGAAGTATCAATACGAGCATCGATGTGCTGTATATTCTAGGAAAGATATGCAAGAAAGTGCAGCCAGTCATTTGAACGAACTGATCAGTTCTAAGTTTCTAATCTGATGTTAAAATCTTTATCTGGTGCACAATTTGGTTGTTTCAGATATCTAAACTATTTCTCTTCATAGAAATTCAGTGGAATAACAGTAATCTACACGGACTACTTTTGCTGATCATAAATAAAATATGCATTTTTCCTAGTGATATTTAACGCTGTTCTGCTGATCATAAACAAAATATGCATTTTTCCTAGTGATATTTAAGGCTGTTCTTCACTAACATTGAGGAGGGACTATAAACGTATGATTTTCATAAGCATCAATAAGTACTATGATGGTCATTTTGACTGAAGAAAAAAGGTGATACTGTTGATTGTTGTTAATTAATAGATAATTTTTTTGCACTTTCAGTTTTTTTAGGTTAATTATAGAAACTCCCACTCAACTATTGGGGTTGTTTCAGAAAATCCCCTTCAACCAATGTTACAGAAGGCGCTAGGCGGACTAGGTGTTGGAGCCAGCACCTAGATGCCAAGGCGTACGCCTAAACGGCGCCTAAGCGTTTGGCTATTTTTAAAATTATTTAATTATAATAATTGATAAAAATATGTACTAAATTCATATAAATTTGTAAAAAAAAAGATAGTCATCTTAGATGCACAATAAATCATACATAGTTAAATACTAAATAACCAAAATAATTATTAACAAGGTAATAGAAAGCGCTAAAAGGTCTAGGCTTTGGACTCGATGCCTAGAGCTTAGAAGGTTTTCTTTTTTTATTTTTAATTACAATAATTGATAGTAAATGTCAATGTTATAGAAAGCTTAGTTGTCAGACTGGTATCTAGACGGGTTTTTTCTTCATTTAAGTAGCGGTCGAGGAGGTTTTGTTGCAGGTCGGATGAGATAGTGGAGATGTTCATATTTGAAGGTTAAAAAACTTAGGAGGAGGTTGGAGGACGTGGAGGCTGGAACACAGATATCATGATCAAGGCTTAAAGGGTGCAATCCACGTAAGTAGACAATGCTCCCTTGAACACTTTCAAAACTTAGATGGACAGCTTAGGTACCGTCTATGCGCTAGTTAGACAGCATAGGTACCGTTTCGGCCTAGGCATACACCTAGGCTGACTAGGCGGAGGCTTTTAAAACAATACCTTCAACTATTTTAACTCTAGAAACCTCCCTCAACTATGAAGTAGTTGTAACCCCCCTCAACTTACAAAATATTATTTATCCCCCCTCAACTTTTCTCACTTAACCCCTTAAACTAATATAATTTAAATCTAAAGTAACAAATGATTTAAAAGGACCATACTATCCCTAAGATATTAAATTTTTTACCATAATGTTTCTTTTTAATTTTTTGGTTAAAAAATAACTTTCACTATATTTTCCCCTCTTCTTCTTCCTCCCATCTTCATTGCTAGGATTACATGCAAATCTATTTTTTCTTTCTTTTTTGAAACACCAAACTTCTTTTATTTTCTGTTTATCCATGCTTGTAATGTTTCAAATAGTTAAAGCATTTAAATATTTTTTTTGAAGATTAGTCTCCTCATCAAAACTCATCGAACCGATGTCTAACATTTTGATTGAGTTAGGTTTTTAAACTCACATGAATTTTTTTCAACCAAGGGTATTCTAGTCATTGTGTATTTCAAATTAATAATATTAGGGAGGTTATTTGAAAAAAGAACTAGAAAGATAAGTGGGGTTTTGTGAGACACCCATAGTTAAGGGGGATTTAGTCACCCATAGTTAAGGGGGATTTAGTCATACTTTAAAAGTTGAAGGAGGTTGTCTACAACACTCTCAAATTTGATGGAGCTTTTCTAAAGATAACATAGTTGAGCGGGGTTTTTTTGAGACGACACATAGTTGAGGTTTTTTTTTTTCTAAAATTAACCTTTTTTTTTTTGAGAAATGCAGGAAGACATCCGAACTCTTGTTACATAACAGTTATATAAGATGAAGCATATCTTCTTTAATTAATAAGGTTATAAAATTAACCTTTTTTTTTGAGAAATGCAGGAAGACATCTGAACTCTTGTTATGTAATAGTTGAGCATATCTTCTTTAATTATATATGGATGATGTGTATTGATCTAGAAACTACGTTAGAGAATCTAGATCTAGAATTCCATTTCCATTTTGTATTGATATCTGAATACAACATTGTTCCTGCTATAGCTGCAAACCATGAGAGATGGAGTAAGATGTAAACATCTTGAAATCTGAGTACAATTTACTTCGGGCATGGATATAAATCTGTATGGTGCTTTCTTGATTATTGCTATGTAAAATTTTTCATTTTTGTACCAATACTGTCCAGAGCATTTCAAAGTATATGCTTTTTATCAGGATTGGATTATTGCCCTGGCCAAGATACATTTTACCAACATCAGTCCATAATTTAGTCAGAACATCTGGTCTCTTTTAACTTGGCATACGACTTCAAGTATTTCTTCCATATTTCCCAGTAATTTTTCACGGAGCAAACTGTCTGAAAATGTTGGAATTTCTAGCGGAATAGAGAATTGCGAAGTTAATTGGGAATGTTCTTGTTTTATCTCTGCTTGTGCAGAGGCTTCAGTGTTTGTGTTTTGTCATGTACAGATACAGGTTTAACTTGTTTTCAGTTTTCCTTTCCGTTTTGGTGAATTGTCCAAAGTTTGAGAGCCAACATCAATACTTTCATTTTTGATGTTTTTTTTTTTTTTTTTTAGAAAAAGGATGGGATACCAAACAGATATCTCAGCCAGCTAAATAACAAAATGGTTGTTACATAATATGTACATATCCCCAACCTAGGATATGCAACCAAGTTCAGGATTAACTACATATCACTGAAACTGATTTCCCAAGCTCTAACCACCAGTTAAAGAAAAACCCAAAAATAGCTGTATGATCACATAACAACAAAACAAGAACTACTAAAAGTTTAGCTGTTAAGAAGCAGCTATCCCAAAAAGATTTGTTGACATGGATCATTCCAGCGGAATTATCTCCCCAGAAC